CTGCTGCTGCTCCTCCATCCAGCTCTGAAACCTACCCAGTTCAGTCAACACAGGAGAGAATATCCTCACGTCCACAGCCAGAATCTTCAGTGGGAGTTTTTGAAAACGAAGCTTCAGGGTCCGGCCACATAAGTGATTCATTACAAAGGCAAGGATAAAATTTTCTTCTGTGTGATGAGTGAGAGAGAGAGAGAGATGACGCTTGGTTTAAAAAATGGCCTCTTCAGCCAGCTGTTTAGCTAATAGCTCTACATCTCTAGGTTACAAATAACATGTATTTTTATTTTTTCTAACATGGATTTTTCTTCCATGCTTTTCCTCTAGATCATTTCAACATCAAGATATTGATGGAGAGAAACCAGCACTAAGTTGCTCTCCCAAACACAAAATAGCAATCAAACCCTTAGCCAACACTAAGGTGCAGCTCTACTTATCACAGATGGAGATTGAAAACCTGACCATGGGTCGGCAGAGAACTGAGCTGACTTCAGACCGAGTGGAAATGGCTCTGTCTACAATCGTCAGCAAAGAGGTACGGCAGCGTCGGTGTCATTCGTTTTAAAAGAAGGGGGAAATCTGTTGTTAATGTTACAGGAGAATCATTGAACAAGAGGTGTTGTCGCCAAACCCTTTTTTTCTCCTTTTGATCAGATGGTGTACTCTAAGAGTCCAAAACAAGTCAAGAATGTCAGGTCCAGAGTGCAGGGACCTAAATGTGGTCAAGATTTCTGCATCTTGGGCTGCGTGTGTTCCAGTCTCCAGCATCAGCACAAACCGTCAGGTTCTCCCCACTGCCGTCGACCAGACTGTATGTTGAAGTGCCATTGTTTAAAGGGCATAATCAGCCAGCAGTTATGTGCAGAGCAGGATAACCTGCGGCTCCCTACTTTCACCAGTAAGATCAAGTTGTGTTAACGTTATTAATATATAATGTTTTTTTTCCTTCTCAGTCACTGACAGATGCGCTTTTGTTTCCTCAGTTTTTCGTAAGATTGAGAGGGCAGCCCCCTGTCCCAAAGGCTCCCACACTAACAGATTGTGGATAAAAAATATAAATGATGTGGATTCTGAGCCACTTTTTGTTCCTACATCTTCACAGAACAGCTGTGTACTGAATCCCTCACAACTGGTAAATGTCCTCTTTTTAAATTGTGTATTTTCTTTATTCTTTAACCATTACTGTCATTGATGCATGTTACAATGGAGTAAACAGTTTTTTTTAAGCGTTATAAGTTCTTCCATAAAAGTTTTTGTAATGGTAAATGTGAAATTGCTCATTTTTAGGTACAAGAGAAGGACAAAGACCCAGTTTATAAATACCTAGAGAGCAAGATGACATGTGCACGTGTTAGAGCCTTCAACAGCAAACCTCCTCCTGAAGTTACCCTGCAACCAAAGACCACTGGTACTGCTACAAATGACACTGTAACGATGCACCTGGAGACGAGCGCTGACAACATGCCAAACTCCCACGCACCTAAGACGTCGCCTACAAACGGAGGTAAACAAACGGACGCGGCTGCAGACCTGCACTGATGTAGTTTGTTGACAGTTCATATTTGACGCTGAAAATATTTTTTGGGTGACACATTTTGACCTTTTTTTTCCCCCCGCACGGTCCTCAGCAGAGACAGATTTCACAGCTCTTGAAAAAAGTGCAAGGAAGCAAATCCAGATCCAGTCCCAGTGCAAATGGGACAAGGACAAAAAAGCGATCCTGAAGGTTTTGTGCCTGCGTTTGTGTGAGAATAAATTGACTGAGCCCTTCCTCATCGGACCTTACAACATTAGCCCGATTTCCAAGATTTTTATGCGGACGCCAAGCAACTCCATTGTCACTTACAAGGTAGGCTTTATGTTTTATTTAACTTGCATTATTCACTGAAAGTGCTATTAATTACAAATGGTGCTAAATCATGGCTTGTTTCATGAACTGGATATTAAAAAGCCTTGTTTTGCTTCAGGTACAAATAAGTAAACCATCAGAAACCAGTAAAGGTGAGGATACGGTTGAGGAAAAGTTAAAAGGGGAAGACAATCCAGAAAAGGAAGTCACACCTTTCCTAAGTGGAGTGTTGCTTGCTGGGATACTGAGAGCTAGGACTAAAACACCTGGTTCCCAAACAAATGAGCTCATCGAGGTAATCCTGCAATGCATTATATTTAGAGAAAAAAAATGCATTTGGACTGTTGACCTCAACATGAACTAAATATATGTTTCTCAACAGGTAAATAACAAGTTCTACAATCAGGCCAACGTGTTGCTGGGGGGAATGGGAGCTTTACATCCAGCCAATCGCCTTGCAGCATTTGTCACAGGCAGACTGAACCCTGCTGCTAAAATAAAAAGCCAAGCCACCAAGTCCACACAGCAGCACACCAACCCAGTCACTTTGCACGCAGACATCACAGACAGAGTTGTTCAGACAGTAATCGGTGCAAAGAAAACCACGGATCTGGACAAAAAAGTACTGCCACTTGGTAAGACGGTCTCTGTTAATGCTTAGTTTGAATGAAGAATCGGCCAAGAACCTGCCAAGAAAGTCATAGCAAAGCAACAGTGTACGAGTTGGTAATGGAATAGGGTTTTTAGCCCTTATGTTTGTTGCACATGTTCAAAATATGGATGAGAAGAGGAAGTTAAAAGATGTTTATCTGAGTCATAGATATATGAATATGATTATTGTTGTTATCAGTTGTAATGAATTATTTAATTGTAATAGAAACATTTGGCTTGGTTATTTGTGCTGAATAATTTTTGTTTCACCAATTTGCTCTACATTCTGTTATTTCAGCTACATCTCAGCCTGTCTGTGGAATACAAAGCCCCAATCCGAATTCACAGCATTCACAATGTCACGCCAGCATCAACCCAGGCCAGAGCAGCTCAGTAAGGCCACAACAGAGCAGCCAGGGATCCTCGCCTTTTCTTCTCACCGTCTCAGATTCACTTAAGACCCCCAACTTCCTCAGAAACAGTGGGACTTATTCATTCAGGATCTGCCCTCCATCCAACCAGACCACCACAGGTCAGAACCGATCAGGTGTTGCCTTGCCTGGTGGCTTCACTCTCTTTCAAATCCCTAAACAAGAAGCCTGTGAGGCTCCAAAACTTTGTGAGACAGTTAACACTACAAACACTGGTGCATTGACAGATTCCATACCACTGAAGCAATCTTTACAAAATCTAGCTGACAATGCAGTCGGTTTGGATACAAATTGGCTCGGGCTGGATTCACTACTGGGAGATGAGGACGTCCAGAGCAGTAGATCACCGGAGCTTGGCTCCTCACTGAAGTTGTCTTCAGATGACTCTACTGACGAACTGAAGGAGGTAAATGTGGATTTAACATCGGGAGATGATGGTTCTGACATCTCAGACTACAGTGAAGAGGATGATGAAGATGTGAGTTAAATATTTATTAAACCTAAAAAATAAATAAGTAAAATATGCAGAGGATTTTATCATCATTTTCTTCTTTTCAGGAAAAATTTGTAAACCCTGATTCAACAGATATTGCAAATCAAGAAATGTTGTCTAGATATTTAATGGATGAGCCACGGTGAGTGAATATGTATACTCAAAAAATGAATCAAAATATTTTTTTGTTTTTGTTTGGGGTTTTTTTTCATTATTATTGGATCTGCTTTTCCTCTTCTAGAAGTTCCAGTGATTTTGGACCAAAGGACCCTTCCTCCCTGGTACAGTATACTTCACCTTACTACAAATAAGCAGCATCTAAATGTATAAGGATCAATAACTATTCTGCTTTTGCAAAATAACGTAGTTTTATTCTGACACAGATGTTGCTCCTAAGCGTAGCTCATGTGTCATTTATTTTGTACTCTGTGCAGAACCTGACTAGAACTCTGCAGCTCAAAATGCTGGAGAGGCTGAAACGCCGCAATCTGCAGAGAAGTTTCGATGAACTCCAGGCCGTAATTGGAATTAAGGGTCAGACCAGCAGGGTCGTGGTCCTCGAGAGGGTCGGTCTAAACTGCCCATGTACATATTCTTCATTCAAACACCAAGAACCGTTCATTTATTTGGCTATTCTTTTGCTGTTTTCAGGCTGCAAGGGCAATCAACAACCTGGATCAGACCAGCATGTTCCTAGAGAAGAAGAAGGAGTGGCTAATGGATATGAACGCTTTATACGTGAAGCAGCTTTCACTTTTGTCTGGTTAGATCACTCTCCGTGGCTGCTCATTGTTGTGTTATGAATGAGTAAAACAATCGCTAAAAGTAAGGTGATGACCAAATTTACTGAATGTTTTTCTTCTCAGGAAAGTCAGAGGTGCTCATCTTAGAGAAGATAAATCAAATCTGCCGGAAGCAAGAAATTGAAGAGAAGAAAAAAGAGGGGACTCCATTCTTCTCCAAGCTTCTACAAAGCAGAGCGGCTCTCCTACAAAGCACCCTGCCCGAGTCTGAGTTTGAGCCTCCACCTCCGATAGAGTCAAACCTCTTCAAGCCACCCTGTGAGCCAATTACAGACACAGCAACAGAGCAAAAGCTACGGCAGATGATGGCCTCATTTCAAGCTGATAGATTGAAGTACCAAACCACTGCAAAGAAATTTGCATCATTTTGGGAAAAAAATCGCTCTCTAACAGGAGGCACAATGTCTGACTCCAACTCCGCTGTGAACTCTGGTGCAGCTAATGTGAACTCGACCCAAATGTCCCCTGCCCTCCCTGTACAGCCCTTTTCTCTTCCTCTTGTTCGCTCCAAGGCTGGCAGGATCATTCTTCCTTCATTTATGAAACCTGGTAATTTTTTTAAATTATTTTTAAATGTAATGCAACACATTTATACACTGTGGCTAAGTCTTACACCCTAACGTGTGTTTAATGAAATATTTTGTTTTCATGCAGTTGGAAACACTGTCCTGAGAATCCAACTTGTGCAGAGCCAAGGTGATGTTGAGTCTCAGCCTTCCAACGTGGATGCCAAGAACCAGGAGAACAGTTTGGCTTCAGAAAGCGTTTGTAAATCAGAGGAGGACAAATCCACATCTACAAATTCTGACGTAAAGTTCAGTCGAACATCTGTGCCCATGATTACCTTTGACCAGTCGGTGTTGTTGAAAGCCTTGGAAACTGTGCAGAACAAGGAGAAGGGCATCACAACGAATGTTTGCTCCAAAAGCCCAGTTTGTTTACCAGTAAAAAAACTGAATTCTGTTAATGAAAAGAAGAACCCCTCCGTAGATAAAGAGACCCCTAAAAGTCTGTGTGCCATTGAACACAGCCCAAAAACAGACACTGTTGCATCAGATCAGCCTGACGTTAAAAGAGGCAGAGGAAGGCCACGGAAACATCCAAGAAACTTGGACAGTGAGCCGCCACCAAAAAAACGCTCTCCCTCACTCCCCAAGGATGATCGCCCTGTAAAAATCTATTACCAGTCCAGTGCAAATGAGAAGGTGAATGCTGCAGCAAATTCCTCACGACCATTAACACGTGGTGCATTAGGAAAAGACTTCCCCAGTACCAAGAAACGCTCCTGGATAGATTTGGAAAAGGAACTGGAGTTGGATTTAGATTAGTTAACTCAATAATCCGTCTGCCTTACACCGAATCTGTCCACCATAACTCCAATAGCTCGTAGCACAGAGAGCTGCTGCAGGAACCTCCGTCAGTGTCAGATCATTCACAGTGAACCAATGTTTTTTGCTGGTTCATTTGTTCTGGAGTTGTTGTTGGTTTTTTTTTTTTTTTTGCTCAAAAGGTCATTGCAAGTGTAACTGTGTTCTGTCTGTCTTGTAATTTTTTTCTTGTTGGTGGCTAAGTTCATGCTGTTTCCATTCTACATTACTAACATGATACATTTTATTTACATCAAACAATGATACGACTACAAGCGACACACTGTAGCCACGATGTGATCAACACACTGAACTGATCACCAGTTCTGTTCTTTGCAGTCCACTAAAATGGATTTTTACCAGACTCAAAAACTAAGCACATCGTTCTGTGTATCAAGTGCTGTTACGCTATATATGTATAAATGTTCATTCAGAGGCACAGTAGCCCGGTCAATCCACACTGTTTTTTAACTGCATTTACAACCAGCAGGACATCTGTCCCATGTCAGGTCAAATGTACCGTTATTCATTATTAATGACCATAGTTGGAGACCTAACAGCAAAGCTCTCTTGAATGTATACTTCTACGTTAGAGAGGGGTTCTTTACCTTGTTTTGTACATTTTTTGTGAAACTGTTACCAATATAATTGAATGTCGCACCATATGTGCCTGTGTACCGTACTGAATGACCAAAGGACTGCGATGACAGCTGATAATCTAATAGGAATTACACACACTAAACTGTGGGTGACATAATATCATGAATTTAACCTGGTTATTAAAAGAATGGTAAAGACGATTACAAATGGGTTCAAATTTTAAATGTCTGCTCTGTCACCTTGAGTGCTAATGGTAACATGAATTTATCTATTTGTTTGTCACTTGAAAACTTGTAAGTGCAGATGATATATTCAGAATCTAAACTTAGAGACTTAGCGTTTTCACATTGTAATGTTTTGTTTCTCACTTAAAAGCACTTTATGTTCTTTGTAGCTTTCTGGTTCGTGTTGTATCAGCAGTGAAGTATATTTCAGGGATTTACACCAACCATCTGAATGTACTGGATGTATCAGAGGCAATCAGATTAAATCTATCTGACATGTATTTAAAAGAATCTTGTAAATATATCATTCTTAATCAACAGCAATATATTTTTTCTGTCCATGAAGAACTTTTGAAACACTGAATAAACTGTTGAAACTGTGAAATATTGTTTGCTCAATAAAATCTCCATTCATTTAGTGCAAACGGTAAGTGCTTTTGGTCACTGATAGTCTAGTATTGGTTTTCTTTCTTTAATCACATGTTGCATGACAATTATGTAATGAAGCTGAAAGAAATCATAAAAGAGAAGTTTACAGACTGACGAAAAGCTCCTTTGTCAAAGTGACATACAGTAATAGGATTATGGGATGCTCTGATCTGATCACTCCTTTGACACCTCATATAAAGGACTATTGGCCTGTGTGGGCACCTCATGCAAACAGCCATGATTGCCGTCAACTTACGACCTCACATCACTGCAGTGACTGAGACACTTAACACACTGTCACTGTGTTGGCTGCATTTTAATGTTGCTCTCTGTGTTTTAACTGCCTTTGGATTAAAGTGGCAGCTGTGGGTTTTTACTTTTACTGCACTCACTCTGATGTTATGATGACACCAGTATAAACGTATCCTCCCTATTAATAAACCGGAAAAAAACAAGATTACACTCGTAGAAAACAGCAAAGTCTTTATTATTCTAAAGTGAGCTTTTAAAGGCATATTTTCACATAAATATAATATTTTACATCTAAATTCATTTTTGTTCTTTTAGTATTAAATAGCAAAATATAATATATATAACTTGTTTGTTGTAATTACAAGGTAAAAGTGCAAATCTTTCAAGGTTATTTTTACCTTAAATCACCGAATGATGCGACATTTTCACACATAGTCATTGTCACATAAACAACGTTTTACATATGTATGAACATATAACCGAGAGCAAACACGTGTTCGTTTTTCGCCCGGTCACCTGACACGGTCCAAACCATCACACGCCCCGCGATTTGTGCCTCACGCCCTCTGTTTAATCCGATTAAGACAAATTAGGTGGAACGAAAACAAAAGCGATCATTGATGCAATCACGGGACCGCTGCAGCCCAGATTAAAGCAGTGATGTCACAGAAATGCAAACACCTCAGTTTCCTCCTGCTGACCCCGAGTTCACGAGTGGTCGTGGAGCGTGTCCATTTCTCCCTGCACCGACAGCAGCAGAGCAGCCTGTTTGCTTGTTTTTGTTGTTGTCATTAGAGGCTGGAAGGACGGTGAGGAACAGCACTTAGCTGCAGACAAAATGCCAGCAGAAGGATTCACCATCAAAAGTCGCATCAGGAATTTACTGCGTTCTCCCTCGGCGAAGCAGAAGATAAGGAGCGAAAAGTTCTGCAGCAAGGCGAGTACTGCACACATGTCCAGAGTCAGGGCCTTCACACCGTGAAATAATAATCACCGCAATATTAAAATATATAATATAACCAGAAAAATGTTTTTGGTTCGTTTACTTTTTAATGGCTTAATATTGTTTGTTTGTTTTTCTAGCATTTATTTTTAATCTCATGGCTAACTTTTAGTTATTTAGTCTATATGTTAAGTGTATTATTTTAGCTATACTCATGGCCAACTGCCTTTTTTATGTTTGGTAAACTTTTAGCTACTCCTGGGCAAGTTTTTTGTTTTTTTCTTTCCCAAAATAGCATGTATTTTTTTGTTTTGTTGTGTTCCTCTTGAGTCAATAGTTATTTTTTGTTTATTCTCTTATAGTTATTTTGTCTAACTTTAAACAATTTATGGTTTATATGTTACAAATGCCTGTTGTATTCGACTATGTTTCTACTGTTCATTCTCTTTATTGTTCACAAACATGAACGTAAACAGGAGCCAAAACAACTACGTTGAATTCCAATCGTCAGTTTAACTAATTCTCAGTCTGTTTGCCTTTTTGATGCATTGCACTTAGAGTTAGTGCAAGTTAAAGGTCATGGTTGTTCCTCATTCATGGTTCTACAGGTGACATTGGAGAAGGTTCTGGGCATCACAGCTTTAGGAAACAGTGGTCTGACCTGTGACCCTCGATCTGGACTTCTGGCCTACCCAGCTGGGTAAGAGCACAGACAAAGACCGTCTGTTTTTATTATCATCTCAACGTCTGATCATTCAGTGTAAACATGCATGTTTGCTTTATCACTTCACCACTTCACACAGACATGCAGCACAGACCTCTGGTGTGTGTGTGTGTGTGTGTGTTTGTGTGTTATCCCTGTGATATTCTACACAACTGAAGCATTTTCATCACACGTGCACTTTCCTCTGGAAGCTTTCCTTCGACTCTCTCAGTGATAGGCTGATCTAAACATCAATGCGTCGTCTCTGTTTTCTGTGCAAACACCATGCCTCTGTTTGTCATATTGAAGAGGTGTGAGCTGCAGATTGGAGGAGTTAGTGCAGGGCTAGCAGGAACTGCATCACAAATGAAGAAAGCGGCTTTGAGACCACAGCGTATTTTTAGTGAGGATGTCGCACAATCATTAGGTTATTTTTACTGCGACTACTTCTTCGGCTTACCTTTTGTAATCGACCATTTAGATCAATTTTACTATTGTTTTAAGTAACCTCTCTACTGCAACCTATTTAATCCTTGTCCTAATGAGATGAAACACATTTCAGAGTTTTGGCGCAGCTGACTGTGCAAAAAAAAAAAAAAAAATCAATTCAGCGCCCTAACACGAGCCAGAAATTGTTAAATGAGTTGAATAGGTCATAGAACAAAGTGTAATTACAGATCAACTAAATGAGTAAGCTTTGTGGTACTGAGTCGACCTTAAACGTTTTAAGGTCAATAAGCAGTAGGCCAATTAACTCCCACCAGCACAAAGTCATTTATTTTCACCTTCTTTTAGCTGTTTGTTTTATTCCACACATTTTGATTTTGTTGCCTTTTTTGACCTCCTCCCTATTGATTACTGTTTAAATTGTGAGTGTATATTTGTCGCTGCTTCGCTGCCTCCCATACAGGTGTGTAGTTGTCCTACTTAACCCAAAAAAGAACAGACAGCAGCACATTATCAACTCCTCAAGGTGAGTTGGATAAAAATACAGCCTTCACTTGACAGAACTCTTCACTCAGCAGTAGTAACAGTGAGCTGTCTGTCTGTCCGTCTGTCTTGCTGTAAAACCATCACCTGTCTGTCTGTCCGTCTGTCTTGCTGTCAAAGGAAAACCATCACAGCGCTGTCCTTCTCTCCAGATGGCAAATACTTGGTGACAGGCGAGGTGAGTCTTTTACAGTGTCAATCAGAATTTTTCTGACCCAGCATTTATTTAGCTTAGCACAGAACAAACTTTGGCTTCTTTAAATATTTATTTTTTCATCCTTGACCAGGTTATTTTTGTGTGTGTGTCTGTGTGCTTGCAGTTTTAGAACTCCTATGCCGACCTTCATTTTGTTAAATCTTGTCATGTCATCTGTAAGCACCGCAGACGACACACTGTATACTGTGGTGTGCAGTGGTCACAGCATGTGCCTCCACACAACACGCTATCTTAATCCTCCCTTACTGTCAATCAAAGCTGAAAAAGGGTCTTAGCTGTGTCAGTGGTTGAGTGTGCAGTAATTGCTGAGGAGAGAAACAAACATTAGTCAGAACACCTGGTAAAATTATAAAAATTCTGCAAAACCACTACTTGAACTGCTCCTGTAGCAATTTTAGAATAAAAACGGGATGTCAAAATGGGGTCACAAGCCAAAAACAGGTTTGGAACTAGACTAATTACATGGTAGTTATGGATAAATCACAAAGATTCAAATTGTAGCTGGCGTTCTTTGAGTTAATTACCGCCACCTACTGGATTTACTCTCTAATCATTAATAATAAAAAACAACAATAATAATAATACTAATAATAATTGAATCATCATCCACTTTCACTCTTTATAATCTAACACCTTTATATACATCTATATCCAAGATGATATAAAATAACACTGGGATTCTGTTGATTTTATATTAAAAGGTTTTTTTTTTCTTAATCATAATAACTTGCTGTTAAAACCCTGGAGTTCATTGAGATTCTTCCTGAAAGCATCTAGTACTCTCTGTTGGAGGATTTCCTATGAAAGACGAGAGCTGCATAAAATATTAATGAGTGAAAAGACCACACAGTGGGAGAGTCTTTCTGGGTGAAATTTTCTCCAGTCACTCCGGCTTCTTTCCATAGTCAGAAAAACATACAGTATTACTTTAATTAGACCATCTGAATGACCATAGGTATTAATGTGAGGGTGAATGGGTTTCTTGCTGTATGTGGCCTTGTGGCAGATTGGCTCAAGCCTCTGGTGTCCCTGAAAAGGATGAAGCTGTAGAAGATGGATGGATGGATGGATGGAGGGATGGAAGGATGAAGAGATGAAGGGATGAATTGAAGAAACAGAAATAAAACCATGAGTGAATGGTCTGTTAAGATGTCAAGGATCAACTCATTTACATACAGTTCAGTCCAACAGACTTATTTCATCTCCCATCCTTCCTCTCTCCTGCTTCTGTCCATTAAGGGACAGCTGTGTCTTTAGCTGAATGATCTCCATCGTCCAGCTGCTCTCTGAAGCCCATCGCACCTATTAAGTGAACTTTCAAAGGTCATTCCACCATATTAAAGAATAGATTGCACAAATGGCCCGCTGACCTTTCAGTCCCCATAAGGAGAATAATGTGAGGCGGTTGAAGGACAAGCAAGTGTATAGAGTGAGCAGAGGTCAGACGTCAGGAAGGATAATCTCTTAGAGAGCTGGATTGACTGCTGTGACAGGTGACTGCTGTGGTGCATTTAAAGAAAGGAGGCATAAAACCAGCCTCATCTATAGTCACGGTCATCACTAACTCTCAGTTTCCCCTCTCTTACACACACGCACACACACTTCACTCTATTCTGTCTAACAGAGTGGTCACCAACCAGCTGTGAGGCTTTGGGACGTGGCAGAGCGGAGACAAGTGGCAGAGATCCAAAAGCACAAATATGGCATCTCATGTGTGGCCTTCTCCCCCAATGGGAAATATATCGTCAGTGTGGGAAACCAGCATGACATGATGGTCAACGTCTGGGCGTGGAAGGTACGGCCACACTCTGGACCCGTTTGTCTAACCCTAGTTACAGCTTTTAACCCACACGTTGTGGATTTGTGCTCCCACAGAAAGATGTCGTTGTGGCCACCAACAAAGTCTCCTGCAAGGTGACAGGTGTGTCCTTCTCTGAGGACAGCTCCTACTTTGTGACTGTGGGGTACAGACATGTCAAGTTCTGGTATCTGGACAACTGCAAGATCAACAAGGTATGAAAATAGACACAGGAATAAATCTTAAAGCCCTTACTACCAAATAAGTTGGTACACATCATTGATGCAATGAAAAAAAAAAAACATGCATTTATGGGTTTGATTTAATCCTGAAGATAATTCAATAAATGTGTTTCAGGGTTTTTCGGCCGCCATTAATTAGTTATTTTCTTGCCATACATTTTTACCACAGTGTTGAAACAATGCACATTGTGTAAACACTATATATCAGCTGAACAAAACAACCCAGTTAAGTGGGAGTGAAGTGTTTCTCTCTCATTTCCTGTTTTGTTTTTTGCCACGTCCCTGAACTTCACACGTTCGTCTTCACATTTTCACAAATTACATGCACCTTATATTTTGCAGAAACCAAAAGAAGAAATGAGTGGCAGTGTTACCTGTTTTAGCACAGAGTGAACTAAACCTCATGTGTTTGTGATTTTCTTTAGTCCAACGCCCCTGTCCCGCTGCTGGGTCGTGCAGGGCTGCTGGGAGAACTGAGGAACAACTTCTTCTGTGACGTAGCCTGTGGGCGGGGCCCCAAATATGACTCCACATTCTGCATTACTTCCTCTGGACTGCTGTGTGAGTTTAACAGCAAGAGGATGCTGGAACAGTGGGTGGACCTCAGGGTGAGTCATTGAGGATGTAACCAATCACTGCAGAGACATCTTTATGGTGGTTTTGTAAAGGTTCAGAATAGTAGCTGGTCAAACTAACTGAATGGAATTGAAATTGTTCTGATTTAATTCATTATTAAAATATTTGTATATTATATATAATAATATATATTAATGATATATATATCATTAAAAAATAGTTGTAGCACACAGCACTGCTCTAATGTAGATTAAAGACTGTCTGATTTTGCTGCATTAAAATCCCTTCTAAACAGAGGGTTTATCTGTCTAACGCAGTGCTATAAAAAGAGCTGTCGACCAGACTTTCTCATTGTGCGGTGTCTGTCTTACAGACCAACCTGGCCCAGTCTCTGACTCTGTCTGAGGATCTGATCTTCTGCGGCTGTGCTGATGGAACCGTTCGAGCCTTCAGGCTCACTGACCTGCACTTTGTCTGCACTCTGCCTCGACCACATCCCCTCGGCACTGATGTCTCCGCCCTTTCAGAGGCCAGGTGAGGATGAGGCGGAACACAGGCTTCTCTTGGCAGTGATCCACTGTCGGATAAAACACTCTATTTTTAGCTCCTCAAGTGGCAACATAGTTCACACGACTTTTCTCCGATGCATTAGGGTTCAGATGTATTTAATTAAAGGAAAATAAATGTGTTTTTCATTTCTGTCTTTCTTCAGCCAGCGCTTTTCCACCAAAGCAGATGTTCGTTATCCAGCGGCTGTTGCTGTTACCTATGACCCCATCAACCATTGGCTCAGCTGTGTTTATAATGACCACAGTCTGTACGTGTGGGATGTACGGGATGTCAGCGAGGTGGAGAAAGTGCATTCTGCCCTGTTTCATGGCGGGTGTGTCTGGGACCTGGAGGTAAACATGAAGGAGGAAGTGAAGGACACAGCTGCAGGAACTAGAGTCTCTCAATGTTGTTTATTTATTTGGTTACTGCTTCAGAGCTCTAATTGAAGATGAAATCACAGACACAAATATGTCTGTTATAACATTTAACAAATTTACAGCAGAGTTTTAGTTTGCAGAAATAAACTGTAAAAGGCAGTGCATATTTGAAAAGTGAAATTCTTCAGCCTCCTACTGCTATGATTTATATTTCACACATCAACACATACACGTCTCCTCTTTCGTCCTTCATCAGGTTTTCCCAGATGTTCCAGGAGAAATGGAGTCTGGTTTGTCTTCGGGCACATTTCTCAGCTGCTCCGCTGATGACACCATTAGATTCTGGCATATAGAAGACTGCCTTCAGCCTCGCGTCCATTTTCAGAACGTCCTCAGTGGTGTGAGTCTGGCATCGCCATCCATCTGTGGTCTCATATAAATACAAATATTGACATTTTGTCAGCGTTTCCCTCCATATGCTCACGCTTTGTCTCTCTCTGTCTGGGCTTGACAGGATCTCTTGAATATAATCTACATAGATGGAAACACTGCTGCACTGCTTGATCCAGAGTGTATGACGAATGTGAGTGCTGATAAATCAGGGGATGGACAGATGACAGGCGTCAGGACTCTCTGCATCAGTCCAGATGGAAAACATCTGGCAACAGGGGACCGCAATGGAATGCTGAGGTAGAACATATCTTAGAAAATTTGACAGGATTTAAAAAGAAAACTGATTAGAAATGTAATCTCTTGCTGAAATGATTTTTTTTGTGCAGGGTTCATGACCTCAACAGCCTGGAAGAGATTCTGAAAGCCGAGGCTCACGATGCAGAGATACTTTGTCTGGAGTACAGTAAACCAGAAACAGGTGTGTGAATGTGTGCACATGTGATCACACCACTGAATGGAGTAGAGTAATTATGCAGATTATTTCTACCAGGTCTGAAGCTGTTAGCCACCGCCAGCAGGGACCGGCTCATCCACGTGCTGGATGCCGAGGATGACTACAGTCTGTTGCAGACCCTCGACGAGCACTCTTCATCCATAACAGCCGTCCGCTTTGCCGGTGAGCCTCTTGAGTCACTGTCAACATCTGAGAGCTAATCTGCTCTTAATCCTCACCTTCATTTGCACGCAGGGCCACACCAAGACTCTCTGTCGTTGTTGACGGCTGCACTGTTTGTTTAAACGAGATAAAACATTTATTCTGTGTGTTTAGGCTGAGCTTTGTTTGTCAAAAGCCCTTTGACTGTGTGTGCTTTTGTACAAGATACATACTGTATTAGCATTAAGAACCCTGAGTTCGTAACATTCAACGTACACGGTCCTAGTGTGAATGAGGAGGTTAAATGACCTTTGCCTTTCAGCCAATGAGAACACGGTGAGGTTGATCAGCTGTGGAGCCGACAAGAGCGTCTATTTCCACACTGCACACAAGGTGAGACGGGGGTTGTCCTCAACAAAACGGTTGCTCCACTTGAATAACATTTTGTGTAAAAAAATGTTTTTATTACCATGTTAAAGACACAGTGCTGCCTTTTCTTTACTGACTCACTTTCCTTGGGTTGTGCAGACTGTTAGAGGAACAATGTTCAGGCGTTCTCACCATATGGCAAGAAAAACAACACTTTATGACATGAGCATAGACCCCACTTGTAAGTATGCTGCCGTGGGCTGTCAGGACCGCTTCATCAGGTGACTTTTTTTTACTTTGAATTTCATTTTTTTTTATCTTCAAGTCCAGCTTTTTTGTCTTTGGTAACGTCTTTTGCTTTTCTGTTTTTAGGATTTTTAATATCAGCAGTGGAAAACAGAAAAAGGTCTACAAGGGTTCAGTGAGTGAAGATGGCAGTCTGCTCAGGGTAACATTTTTCTCTGGCACCGACATTGTATTAATCTGCTGTCTGAACACATCATAAACAATGGAATGCCTGCGTGTTGGTTGGTGACAGGTGGAGATCGATCCCTCAGGTCAATATGTTGCCACGAGCTGCTCCGATAAAAGCATCAGCATCTTTGACTTCTACACCGGGGAGTGTATCGCCACCATGATTGGACACTCAGGTAACGGAGCACACACCTGTACTTTGTACACACTATACGTCATGTAGCTGCTCTGACTAAACGACACATTTATAGCGTCAGGATCAGAATACATCAACCAACATTGCCACGGACAATAAAAACCAAGGAGCCATCTTTTCTGTTTTGCAGAAGTTGTCACTGGGATGAAGTTCACCAACGACTGCAAGCGTTTAATTTCTGTGTCGGGTGACAGGTGAGAGACGTTTTAAATCATATTTCATACATTCCTAATGTATTATATATCGGCACCTAGAGACATACATGTTATAAATATTATAATATATTATATAATATTTATAAATAAATATTATATATATATAAATATATATATAAATATTATATATTATAAAGATTTCTGCAAACTTCCCTTTAGTTCTACCTTGTGGTGTGAATTCGTCAAATGAACGTTACTATAATAGTGACAAAACTTAAACTGAATGTATGCACCTGGGATAAAATGTATTGTAATAAAATCAGGATTGGTCTAGCAGCAGACTAATTGAAATTACCCACAGCCTCTGCTCCAGGAGGAAATGAGTGAGGAAATGTGTTTGCAGACAGTTTCCTCAATAGTCAGACTGAAATGAAATGCTGAATTTTTAATGCCTGAATGCTTTTATCTCCAAGCTGCATCTTTGTGTGGCGGCTGGCTCCAGAGCTGACAATGAGCATGAGAGAGCGGCTGTGCCAGCTTAGACAAAACACACACGCGCCATCCAACAAGACCTTCAGCCTCAGGTGATGACATATGCCATTAAGTAGAAGTTTGTTTATCGGTGTCTATCATTTAACAAACACTTTCCCCCCAGAAGAATCGTTTAACTGTTTGTCTGACTGTGTCACTCCAGACGGGAGGTTCACAGCGCACCCACTCTGCGAGGTTTGTCCACGGACAGTGACCACGAGCTGCAGGAGGAGGACGAAACGGAGAACAGTGACCTCTGTGACCTGGATGACATCACAGCCACTTCATCATCTGACAGCAGCAGGGATGAGGACTCAGGTGCTGTCTATAACAACAAACTGTAATCCCAGAGATTTCTAATAATCAATATTAACATATAGGAATCAATAACAAAATAATTGTTAGTATGATTATTAGTGTAAAGACACTTGAGAACAAACATCATTTTGTTGCTCAGTTGAAACTGGGAAAGTCCTTTTACTTCCTTCTTTATTCCTAATGAATAAAGTGCCTAACAAATAATTTTGTTTTGGTTTGTTTGGTTTTTTTTTTTGTCTGTTTGCAAATGCTCACCAACACATTTTTATAACTGCTTAATTTTTTGCATTTTCTCTCACATCAGGAGACTCAGATGAAGGACAGAACTGGCAACTTACAAAGGTGGGTGGTCCAATCTAAAGACATTTTTTATTTGTTTCAGGGAATTTTTAGTTTTTTTGATAAAAACCAGAGCTCTGATGCTGTTGGCAATACAAACATTTTAATGAAGAACATTGAATGTGTGTTGTCTTGTTAGTGATATTTAAAAAACTGGTGACCATATTAGGTGTGTACTTAAATGCAGATGCTGTTCTCATTCAGATTTAATGGGATTGAATTGACATGGATGATTTTATGCACACCAATACATTTTCTTTGATATATAAGCCAAGACTGTACTGACACTGGACAAACCTCATCTTCACAGGTCAACAGTGAGCCTGGCAGACGTCCTAGGAGGCGCTGGTCCCACCGTGTGGGGCTGATGGTTAAATCCATGTTGGACCTGAGACAGCTGGAGGCCTTTTCTCACAGGAAGAACCATCAGGAGAGACAGAGTTCGTCCAGTCTGCAGGAGCCTGTGGTATACATGATTCCTCAGGGTGTCTATGAAAAAAGACACTCAGAACAGAACTGTTTTTGTGGATCCAAATTCCACTGCTTCATCGGGCCATATGTGTTCTTTTTGTGCAGCAGCCGTTGGAGGAGAGGTCCAGGAGACATCAGCCTTGGCCACACTCTGGTTGGCTGTCCTCGCATCCATCCAAGGGCATTAGGGGCAATCATGGAGTAGTGTTGTACCCCGAGGACAATGAGCGACGCACATGTCTGCGGGGCAGGTGAACCACTGCCTCAAAAACAACATGTTTTTTTTTTTACCACCATGACCATGAAAGTGAACAAAAGTGCATTGCTATTCTTAGTTGAATGTTTCTCTCTCCGGCTCCCTCTTCCCCATTGTTTCCGCCTCTTTGTGTTTCTTTGTGTTCTCATACATCAGTGATTACACATTAAAGGAGCAGAACTGCTGGATGGAAGGACGAAGGCTACGCAGCGAGCGCCGGGATGGAAACGCACGCTGCGGTGTGTGGTCTCAGGGCTATGATGGCAAGTATGCCTATGTGGATCATTTTATAGATGGTAAGAATATCTGGAATAAAAGAAAGAAAGAGAGAGAGAGCATGGGTGAAAGAAGAAGAGCAAAAAATAAGAACAAAAGAGGAAAGTATAAAAGTAAAAAACAAATACATCTTTTTTTAATCTTAAATATAGAAGACTAAAAAGAAACAAACAAAGAAAGACACATTAAAACTGCTTTTGCAAAAGTCCCCAATGGAACTCCTTTGCACCCTCTAGTGGTAGCAGCGGAAAACTCTGACGCGTCACATGTCAAATGTCAACTCCGTATTTAGAATCAAATATTTGTGTTTATTTTAATGGTTACAATGAAGTGGATGCATTTACATCAGTGCCTTTAGTCTGCTCACACATGGGAATACACGAGTTAGGTCTTAGCATCGTGTTGCATCACCACACTTCAAGAGCTTTTAACCAAGCAAGCCCTTAATGAGAAGACCTCAACAGAAAAAGTCGATATGTTCCAGGCTTCAAAGCTGTAAACGGTAACAGAATATAATTATTTTACATACAAGACTTCCAGAAATGTTAGTTCACTTCCTCGTGCAACTATATTTATTTAACATTTGCTAATTACATTGAATGGTTATCAGGTAGAAGGACATGGAATATCAGGACTGTCAATCTGTCCACAGTGTACTCAATTTAACGTATACACACTGTGACCTGCAGTGGAATCTTTTCCACTCGCAGGCAGAGCAGAGGAATTTAAATAGACATCAAGAAACATTTTTTTTGTTCGAAACAGAGCTGCATTTTTGTTCAGATGCATTTCTGATTCCAGTCACATCGTCTCAAGGTGTGTCAAGTGCAGGATTTAAATTGAGTACATGAAAGCCTGGGTAGCTCTTCAACATACACTAAAGCTGATACCTGCTGGGAGAGATCTGATCACACCGAGGCTGGACTTCTTTCTTTCACTCAGTTTTTGGGGGCTGACAAAATACATCAGATAATAACCTACTTCTACATAAACCCCAGTGTTCTCGCTGGGTCATTTGTGACAGATTATCTGGTGCCTGCCTGTTCTCTGCTGTGACGCTCTGATGGACGTGTTCTTTCTGTTGCCTTTCAGATTCTGCTGATATGGAGTTGCTGAGCCAGGACGGCTCTGATGAAGACCGGGAGGAAGTGAAACAAAATGCAGCAGTGACGAGTATGGATGAAGCACTGAGGACTGTGAATGGTACTGCAGAGCCCAGCCAGGAACATTTCCTCAAGCACAACTTGGAGACTCTGGCAGATGGCTGCAGCACGGGTTAGAGGAGGCAGACACACATACACACAACAAACAAAATACACACATATACTGAATACTGTAACTTTTTTATAACATAGTTTATATATACATATATAAGTATATGTGCAAATATGTGCATATACTGTATACAAAGACATATGGATATATTTATTGATATATATTGATATGCTCACACACAGACAGAAAGCATGTTGCTCCAATTGTAGCGTAGCTGCAGCAGCTTCCTGTATCCAGGATTTCCCTTTTGTGAATAGATTGACCCCAACTTTAAGTCTGAGCCTTTACACATTTGTACTTCAGATGCAGATGTGCAGTGGTTGGAGCAGATGGTCTCACACAACACCTTAAAACACTGCCTTCCAGGTCAAGATGCTGCAGCTATTGTTGCTAAAATCTATTATTCTTTTTTTGAACCTTTTGTGCTAGATACTAGTTAGATTTTGTGTGTGTGGTCCATAATGGTTGCCTTATAAATAAAGTTAAAGTTTAACAACTTGCAGTTACAAAAGCACACACAAAATAATGACTTCCTCTTTTACTGTAAGTTTTCTCTTTTCCTCTCTCTGGTATCATTTCTCTTGACACTGTCTTCTTTTTTTTCTTGACGATTATCCACAGCTGAGCAGACCACAGTCTCCAGGCACACTATGTCTTCACGCTTCCTGACCAAAGCACATGATGACAGGTACTGCTGACCACTTCAGACCAGTGTGTACTCACACTTAAAATTATGAATTCACTTGCACTCCTAGAGTCAGTTAAGCTGTCACTCATAATATAGTTACTGTAGGCAAGGTTGTTAAGGTTTGGTCCATGGGCCAAAAGTACTATTATTATCATTATCATTAACAAAATATGGTGAACATATCCCCGGTGAAAGAGATTAATGTTATTATTATTAAATCACTAATCTAAATTAAAAGGCATAGAAGAAATTGAATTGTCTCTGGAGATTAACACATTGCCAAAAGAAGGATGAGAAAACAAAAATATACAAAAAAAAACAAACATTCTATTTGGCTTTAAGACAGCAACCCGTACCAAACAGATAATCTGGCTCCTTTCAAACCTGCATTTATTATAAAAACATCCACCTACAAGCACTTCCTGGAAGCAGCTCCTGGCCAGGGAGCCTCAGTTTTACATCCAATTATCATTTTTACGCTTGGATTTTCAGGCACATAAAACAAACTGTAATGTTTTACTAAACCTGTGGGTAAATCTTACAAAATCAATCCTTTTTTTGGATAGATCCTTACTTGTTTACAGTTTTGAGTTAAAACGACTGTTGACATCTTGGTTTCCCCTACTCTCTGTCAGTCTCTTTAACACAGCAGCAGCCATCTTCAATCTGTAGAGGGTTGGTTTGCAGATAATTGACATTCATATATGTGATATCCTTCCACAGTTGTTAGATTTAACACATTCATTCAGGTATAAACTGCTTCAGTCAAGTAGTTATTTTAAGTAGACATTTTTACATGATGTGAATAACTCAAGAGTCAACAGAGATTGTCTTCGATGGATTTATTTTACGTATCTTGATCACGAGATCCGAACCTAACTCCGTCTAACACAGCTGTTAGACTCCACTGACTTCCTGTTACGCGAACTCTCTTTTATGTGGTTACATGGTTACGTAATACAGTTGTTAGGTTTCGATTTGAATACAGTATACAGAATACAGGTGTTAGACTTCAAGGCTTCAGCTAGATGAGGAAGTCCTTCCATATATGGTTATAAAAACAGTCATCCTTTGTACAAACCTGGTGAGGTGGACAAGTACATCATGTATGGTTTCATTCACAGTTTCCAGTGTAACAAAAAGTGCATTATACAGGCTATTCATTAATCTGCTCGTCATATCTAACCTCTTTATTGTCCTGCATTTCGTCCACGCAGAAGCAGCTTGACCTACAAACTTCCAGTGTCCAAAGTACGACCCTTGATGGACAAGGACCATGGCACAAATGACGAAGACCTGACGTCAACCACCACAGTCAGAACTGAAGGGCAAAAGTAAGAAAGACTAAGACATTTAAGAAGACACTCATTAAGATCTATTTAACCTTTACTGAGAGACTTAAGGGGAAATCTCAACTGAAAAAAAAATTAACCAAATCAAGGTGTCACCTGGAATTAGGTTGCTATATTTACAAGATAATAATTGCATAAATAACTAAATATATGTTTTGCTTTTTATGTGCTGTTTAACTACTGAACATTTTAGTTAGAGGTCATGTATGCAACTGTCTGTTCCAGTCCTGGCAGGACAAACGTGTGTAAAGCAAGTATCAAAACTCCCCACAGTCCTAGGGCGCACAAAACTTGGTCACACTGCGTAATGTGTCTGATGTTAATCCCTGGAGTGTTTCATGGATGGGTTTAATGGAGAGTCTAATTCCCCCTTAGGGCATTCATAGACTACTGACAATTAAAAAAGCCTTTTAGTTCCCCTCTCCTGCCTGTAAGTGGTGCTAAGTAGGCATTTGACTTAAGGGTCCTGGTAAAACATTTTTTGTTTTATGTACTAACCTTATGCAAACTCTTAGCACATTTATGTGTGGAGGTTAGTGCATGTCATTACAGACACGTATGGGCCCTCAGCCCTGCAGCTGTGACTTGTGGAGCAAGGTGGTGCAAAGGTCAGTTAGAGTGTCCACTGACAGCTGACCGCAGCGATGATACCAAATGTGGCCCACCAGGCCGTTTTTTTGTGGTCCGCCGGAGCTTAAAGTATTTAATAAAGTCCATGCAGCAGAGTTTCTTAACCTTTTTTTTTTTTTTTAATTACCCATCAATGAACAATATTTTTAGCTTGAATAAATAATCAATTGCAGAAACGCTCAATGAGTTGGATGTAATGGTGGAATTTTGTATGGAATTGATTTGCAACAGTTGCATTGTTTTTTTGTAACAACATCACACATACTATACCTTTTAGTAATCTTACTAACAATTTAGTTTTTTGTTTTTTCAATTTAGCGGACCAAGGGCTATGGAAGACAGCTGTTCTCCAGTCCTCAGAGCCAAGAAAATGTCTTCAAAGCCTCATCTCTGGAGATTGTCCAGCCCTCCACACGCAGCTTCACTCAACAGAACGACATGTTTGACGAAATCCCTCTCGGCTCAGGACCTGGCCTCAGACTGTAGGTTCCACTGTCAATTTCACTCTACAATTGTCACTTAATTGACATTAGATGCACTGGGAGGCAGATGATCCCCTGAGTAATGAATAAGTTAATTTATCTGATTTTGGATGATGAATCAAAATTGGTACTAATTCCATTCAATTGATAATATCATTTCATTATCTTTTCTGTTTGGTGTATCTTTCTTAATAAGAATATTATATATAATAATAATATAATAAGTGTAATATTTAAGTGTAATTGTTTTTTTTTTGTTTTTTTTGTTTGTTTGTTTGTCTTACTAGCTCTTTACTCCCCTGCACTGTCCACTGACAGACGAGATTTGCAGAAAAGACCACAGCATCACACATCACACGTTTCCTCACCCTCCTGCAGCTCACCGCGGTCTCCTCGCTCACCTCCGCCTTGGGACAGACCGCAGCACTCCTACATGAACCCCACAGCCAGTTCCATGGCTAAGAGCAGCAGATCTTCGTCTCTCTGCGAGGGCATCCATACAGCAACTCCACCCTGCTCCCCTCATGCGGTCAAGAGCAGGAGATCGTCCGTGGAGCTGGAGGTCGAGCTTCCACTCTTCTCCTCGTCCCCCGTAGCTGCCCACCCCCCCCCACTCTCTCCCTCCTCCTCCATCTTCTCTCCACAGTCCAAAAGCTCTTCTCCAGCAATGACAGTTTCACCCACTCCTTTCACCAACAATGTTCCACCTTCTCGCATCCCAATTCCTACGCAGCCTCTGAGTCCTCGATGTGGTGTCTGCCTGGCACCAAATGGGTCTGGGGGTCTGACCAGAGTTTTTACACCTATAAAAGCACCCTCGCAATGTGACCTTTCACACAAACAAGGTCAGTTCAACTTTGTGAGAAAATATACAAACCTTAAAAACCACATTCACATTTTTGTATCCTCTGAATTGTTTTCATCTTCAGGCAGGAGTAGACTACCATCTCTAATTTGTGACCCGTCGTTGCCAAGTTCAGAACCAGTGAAGTGGAGGAGAGACTCATTTTCTCAGAGGTAAACAGCTTTAAATCAGATTCCAATTATCACATAAAGTTCAATGGAGTGATTCAATAACTACTATATTTTAAGATGATGCAGAGTCAAATTTCTTACTTTCTGTTCCAGTGTCAGCGAGCCAGGGCCTTTGGCTGTAGATAAAGAGTGCCCCCTGGTGTCTGAACAGGTCCACACTGCTGAGCCTCTCCCAGGTCTGATCTAAAACATTTTCATTATCCTGTCTGTCACCTTTCATTATTTGTTTGTTTGTCATTACTGTACAAAAACACAATATTCAGTGTGTAGACACACACTGAATATTGTGTTTTTGTAGTGATGTCCTATTGCTGCCTGTACTGTCTTTACAGTTATTCTCTTACAGTTCTCATGATTGCCATCTAGTGGTTGTGTGTGTATCTCTTTGCATTTTTATGAAGTCTTCTTACAACATGACCATAACATTCATACATCCTACAAGAAAATAATTTTTCATCATGCAATATTTGTATTTTTAACTCAGTAGAGCTATGTAATATTATCTTCTACATTTCCAACCCAGGCATCTTAAAGTGTTACAGTAAATCTCTACCTGCAGAAACGCCCTTCATCTCAGACTTCAGGCTTCTTTATTTGCCGTGTAATTACATTGCTGTTCAAAGACGCCAGACATAGAAACTATTGCCACCATTAACTGATGCTCAGTCCAGGCCCAGACCCGTCGTTGTGTGGCTCAGATGATATAAATGGTTTCTTTTCATACTCTGCAACCTTTGGCTCAACATTTACTCAGCGCTAAAGTGCTTTCTTTAAAGTGTTCTTTTCACACAGTGTTTGAAAAAGAGTCACTTCTCTCCCCGCAGATCCCTTCATCACCTTGGAAACTTGCAAGCAGACAATTACTGAGCTTCACAACAGTCTGAAGGAAGCCATCACGCTCTACACCACGGTCAGTGAGACTGTCTGCAAATGCATGTGTGTCCGTTTGTGTGTGGATGAATTCTAGAGGAAGAGAGAAGTAGTTGCCTGTTTTTGCTTATGGTTGACCCAATTGTTATCAATTGACTACATTAATACATAACACTAAAGATGTTAATACTGAAAATATGATTTTACTTCCGTGGCTACTGCTGCCTTTGCACATTCTAAGCAGGAATCCTATTTAATACCACATAATTTTACAAATATATTTTTACTTTTTTTTTTCATTCTAAAATAATTATGCACCAATCATTTATTCCATAGTTCCATACTACAAATGCGGTAAATAATATATGTATATAACTAATTCCCTTTTAAAATTTGTTTTTAGAAATAATCAGCCTTTATATCTGTCTGTCTGTCTACATCAGTGTGGTCAACATCCCACCAAGGATCAGCAGCAGATGAGGACAATTCTGTCCGAGGCTTTGTTCTCAGTAAAGACAGAGCTGGACTCTCTGTCTCCACTGAGCTCTCAGTGTGAGACGTCCCCCGTCACCCAGGTGATTAAAGGTGATGGAGACAAGGCCCTGGCTCTGCTGGAGCAGTACGCTGAGCTGCTGCTGAAGTCTGTGGAGAAGAGACTGGACAACAAGTCCTGACATCTCCAAGTTAGACCCCAACCCTTGTACTGTTTGCTCAGTGGCACTGTGGATTGCACTCTTGTCATTTGTCATTTGCACAGAGATGTTTAAAAACGTTTTTTTTTCCAAGAACAGATTAGATGTCATTGCAGAGCTAATGTATAATATATTTAATTTAATCTGAATAAAAAGGTTGCTTATCTAAAAACCGCTTTGATACATTTTCTTTTTACCTTTAACTTTAAATTATATCAGATAATAAAACACTATGACAGTAGAAATAAATGGAGAAAACATGCAGACAAAGACTGAAGGCATTATTTTATTCCGTTGCATAAAATCAAACCAGAAGATTTATTTAAAGATAGTTTTATTGTTTAACCCAAACAATAATAAACTTATTACATTTTAAGACTTTTATTTCTCCCCTGAATTCTCCACTAACTACATTAAATATATTTTAGCCACTGTTAAAAATCTGCAAAACAGCAGTAGCGTCATTATAATTCAAAGCTGAACAAGGAAGAAGTGGTTAGTTGTGCAGCCTCTTGTGGCATGTGATTATAATAACTAAGGTGAATAACTAAGGTAAATATATTTCTCAGAAAAATATGTTACACCTTTTTTAATTATTTAAAAAAAAAACATTAAGGTTTGCAAGGTTATAAGGTCGTGTGTATGTACGTGGTGGTGCCTGTCATTGTCCACTAATGTGCAGTGACTCAGTGGTTAGGAACCACTGCTTAAGTTTTCCCAAGTTTTTTTAATATTGTAAAAAAAAAGATAATTAAAAATGAAGATACAAACTGTAGTCTTTATGTATTCTAGAAGGTGTAACAATTTCTGAAAATGATATTTATATGTATTAACACTTTGCATCTTGATATAAGCCTGCAAAGCTGTAGTCACTCTGCAGTACAGTATTAATAGCAGGTTTTTAGCACATGTCACTCTTTATGTGCTGCACATTCAAAACACTGGTACACAGCTGTCTGTCCTTGGTGCCTGGTGCTGTATGTAATGGATGAGTGACAGTGTGCTCTCTAAGGAAGTGTCTCCACGTTGACATATGTGAGGACGACGTCGTGCAGAATGTTGATCCTGTCAATCCGGTTGAGTTCTCTGACGCGGTGTCGGAACTCAAACAGCGGGATGTTGTTCACTGCCACTCTGAACGACTCCTGTGTGCACAGGATCTTCATCTGGAACAGATGAAGATCAACAGAAGGTGTTAACGTGTCACCAAACCTGGAGAGCTTCACATTAGTAACACTCAGAAACTAAAATTACACACATTCTCTCATTTATTCTGTTCCCATCTGTTTTAGCTACAGAAAATGTGATTTTGTATTTTAAAAAATTTCAAAAAACACCTTTGGACTTAATGATCCAGAAGCAGAGATTGTTAGAGCTGTTACAGGTGTCAGTGGATATGACCCAGGCACAGAGTAAGCTGCTCACATTAGCCACCTCCTGGTGATGCCTGTAAAGCCTAATTGTTATTGATGTTATTGAGCAACTTGAGCCCCCACTGACCTCCAGGAGCCTCCCTGCAGTACAGCAGCTCCCTTATCTAGGATTCGTTTGCACAAACAGCTTTCCAACCCTCTCCATCTTTTCCGAACGTTAGCCTGACATTAGTCGTGAGACAATGACCTGAAGTCAGTCAGAGGCAGCGTACGGAGTATTTTGAAACATCTTAAATAATTAATACCAAAAACATATGATAGTGAGGCCACAATCTGGGTTAAAATGATGAGTGTTTTTGTGAATGATCTAAGGCACTGGTCAGTACAAAATAACTTTGTGAAAAGGCAACGAGTTAATGCTGTTAGCATGCAGTACACTTCTGTTTCTACGTCCACTCTTTGCTTCTTCTTCACCTCAAATGGACTGCCCAGGGCAAAGGGGAACGGTCCCTTCATTTCCCTCTCTTCTGACCCCCATCGCTCGCCCAGTTTGTGGTTACGGACCACGACCTGTTTCCCCCCTTCATTGAAGCGAGGGTTAATGTGAAAGGCGATGTCGTTGCCTCTCAGGAAGTTGACGGTGAACCTGTGTGAGACCAAAGACTGACATGAACCATCGCAAACATATTGTCGTTGTACCTGTTCTCAGTGAGTGTACAGTACAATATACAGGACAGAATCATTTGAGTTGACTTACATTTTGGCATTTGGCTTCACATGGCCCAAGATGGTCATCATCATCTTGTCATACACCCCACGGGACAGGTTCAAGTTGTATGGAACACTCTAATCCAACAGGGCAGATAAAACAACATTAGTATGAACCAACATTATAAACTCAGCAGGACAACAAAACACTTTTTGCACTTGACTCACCAGGGGTCCAGATGTGGGTGGCAGCCAGTGAGAAGGCATCATTGAAGAATTCTGTCCAGGCCATCCTGGCTGTCCAGGCCAACCTGTCCAACCAATGTGAGACGGCCATCCTGGTAAATGTGGTTGGATGGTGCCAGAAGCAGCGGGAACAGATGTAGTAGTAGGAGTAGGGACTAGAACTGTTGCAGGAACCTGGACTTGAGCAGGGGTCTGAGTTTGAAGTGGAGCCGGGGTCGGTGCCGGTTGGTATTGGGTGCCTGGCCAGCAAGGCTGGCAGGACTGCATTGATCCTGGAGCAAGAACTGGAACTGTAGCAGGTACTGTGGAAGGCACTGGAACCGGAGCAGGAACTGGGACTGGAACTGGAGCTGGAGTGATGAAAGTGGCGGGTGCAGGAGCTGGTGACAAAGTCTGTACCGGTGCTGGAAATGAAACCGGTGCAGAGACAGAGACTGCAGTTGGTTGAGTTCCAGGCCAGCAGGCTGAGTTTGGTTGTCCGGTCCAGCATGGCGTAGGCTGGGTGGGCTGTCCTGGCCATCCAGGGAATGAAGCTGCAGATGGAGTCTGGCTGGGCCAGAGGCAGTTATTCTGTGGGGCAGAGCCAGGGGACGGGCAGCTGCCACAGAGAGGGTCGACGTGCTGGGGGGAAGGAGAAGGAGAAGGAGACGGAGGAGGAGATGGAGTGGAAGGAGTCATAGAAGGGTCAGGGGCAAGGATAGAAATTCGTGGCAGAGAGAGGGTGGAAAGGATGGAAGAAACCAACTTGCAGTTGCAAACAAGGCCGTTTGACACAAGCAAAGATTTAAACATCTGAATTTAGATAAAAGACAAATGGACATAAATCTTACCAGGGCAGAGATCTGAGGGTTTGGTGCAGTACTTACATCCATGCTGTCTGTGGGAATAAGAATAATAATAAAATACTCCATTACAAAAATACTACATGCAATTTATATTGTATTTCCTTTCAAACACACATTGACTGTACTAAAGATGCAATGCAATATTTTTTGGCTGTGAAGAGAAACAGTTGTTCAGGTGTCCACCAGGGGTCTACTTTTTGCAGAGTGGATGGATGTGTCTGCACAAATGCAGACATTGTTAACTTTAGGACATTGGACACCATGAGTTGTGCTAATTTAATAATGGCAGCAGAAAAGTCTTAACATAACGCTGGATTGACTCAGAGTCATATGGGGCTTGGGAAAAGAATGTGCACAACAATGACTCTTCACAGGCTGATGCTGTTCATTGCTGTTCACTGCTGTTCACTGCTGTTCACTGCTGTTCTGCAGAGCCATTTCATACAAAATGCATCTCTAATTAATAGAACTTCACATAATTTCATAATTTTACTATTGAACAAATTATGTGACTAAATTGAGAATATGAATATAATTTACACAATTTATATCAATTGAAGTGATGTTTTATAATAACTTGTTCAAAAACATTTCACAAAAAACTTCAATCACCAAATACATCATGATATATTTCACATCTATACATATACATATATATATATATATATACTCTGACCCCTTACACTCATTCTATACACTATAATGTTTACTCCCCAAACTGAAAACAATAACAAAATGTTTTCTCTGCTTCAAACATAACTGTATTATCTCTGTTAAATAATCAGCAGCAGTCATATATGGAGCAGTAAATACCTCTTGTTGTGGTTGGTCCTCAGAGTCAGACAGTAGAGGCTTGGGGCTGTGGCGTCGCTCAGTCCGGCTGTTGACAAGCACAATGCAACCCTCTTTTATAGCCGTGCACAGCATCAACACTTGGTCACTCCTTAGTTTATCACTCAATCAGAGGGAAATGCCTCACCGTAGTACGTCACGTATGTTACGGATTCATTGAAAGCATCATTTAATGTATGTTTAAAAAAGGGGTTTATATTATTATACTACCGCTCAGGTTTAGGGCTGTCAGAACTACACACATGGGAAATATAAAATATATACATTATGTTTAAAGGGACAGTAGTTGAGCCTTTGCACTTGAGAAACTTTAGGAGTAAATGAAGTTTCCTAGCATGGAAAGGAAAATAATTTAGCTAAATAACAAAGTTTCCTAGCATGGAAAGGAAAATAAGCAGAAAAAGGAAAATAGCTAAATAAATGTTGCGTCATGGTCTTTGTAATATTATGATCCAAATGGAGTTTTTTAGCTGACAAAGAAAATTAAATTTATTTTTCCTTCATCATAGTCACCACTGTGGTTGTTACATTAGTGATCTGGTGCAAGGGATACACAACCCAGCCCACCTATCATGGCAGTCGGGGAGCGACAGTGGATTCAAACCCAGAACCTCCTGAATGGAAGGCAAGAATCCTACCACTGTGGCCCTGCCACCAGTTTGAAAATCTGGAAGGTAATCTTCAGTATAAACCTAAAAAAATTAAATATATGTTGATGGTTTTTACTGTGGCTCTAATTGAAAATCAAAATGTCCTTTTGCTCTCTGTGACAGTATTAAAAGTCACCTCCACCAAGGCTCTCCCAGCTGGCTTTGTGGAGGAAGGAAGTTTAAGGGAGAGTGAAGAGATGATGATGGAATGACTTTCACATTTTTCATACCTAGACTTGATTCACTGTGGGCACAATGATCTGATTTTGTGTCACTGGAACAGTCAGGGCCATTTAGCACTCATGCCATATCTGTCTAGGATTCACTTTAGTAACACAATTACAGCACATATTCACAGACGTCAGAACTCCCTGCTGGGACTCTCACTCATCCGTATTGTTGCATTCACCCCGGGTTAATTCCCCCCACAGCGGTCGGTCATACTCTAACTTTCACATTTTTCTGCCAGACACGCACATCCTCCTCCTGCCTGTCCAAATATTGACCTGGACCATGACTTTGGACGGTGGACACTGGGTCAAATGATTGAAAAATCTCCAGGGAAACCGCTTCCTAACAAATAACACATATAAGTTGAGTCTCACAATTGCGCTGTTTGTCTCAGCACCGTTATTAGATTGGCCATCACCTGAGTGAAAAATGTCAGAAATTGCAGAAGCGTCTTGGAATGTAGAGAAAGAATCCACAGAGAATTGCCGTTGTTAGCCATCTGTTAACATATGTTATATAAAGATACACAAAACAAACTTTTTGTTTTAATTTTATAATTTTAAATAAAATTAAACGTTTTGTTTTTGAGTTTGAGTGTAGTTGAATATAAATGATCACATATTACTGTTGTAGGTTATCTTGTCAAGAAGAAAATTATTACACATTTCAACACATCACACACCACCTTACACACATGCACACATGCATTCACACCAGATAGGTGTCTTGTCTTGTGATGCTCTCATGTGGAAACAATACAATCTTTAATCTTATTCTGCCACCAAGTGGCTTCTCACACAAACACAGCTTTAACATTAAACCTCAGTGACTAACGTTGTACCAAAAGTGCAACATAAATATTATACTACTACATACAAATATTCAGACAACAACCCAGTTATGTTGTTTGAATCATCAAAATATTAATTTGATATGTTTAGTTCATTGTTTTATTTCCCAGATTAACTAGCCAAAAATTCATTCATTTAGCTCAGGATTTAAATTTGAGAAAAAGTGTTGTTTTTTCCTTTAATTACATGTACAACACATACAAATCAGTTTGAACTGAAATAAATTAAAAAAAAAGTTCTTGATTGAAGTGAATGTGAACCATGTGGCCATGACATGCTGTCAGCAGGGAGAGGGAGTGATGATGTCACTTGCAGGAGGTCTCATTTTGTCATTTCAACCAATGAGGGAGCTGGAGATAAAGGAGTGGAGCATGAGGTGTGCTGCTGTTAGGCAGAAGAGCATATTTGGCAGGATCAGGTTTTTCCAAAGCAACAGTAGTGGCCTTAGCTTGTGATTAGCCCTGGGCCCTGTTCCAACACTTGTCAGCATCATCCTCCTGCAGTCAAACTTTCCTCCTCGTCTCTATTGATTTCTCGATTAAGGTCAGATTTCTGTTCAGTCTCACTGGGGAGGAAGGTAATCCCCCAAATAGGTGACATTTCTGGGTTTACCTGAAATTAAACAAGAGTGTTGTTTCATTTGAAGTATAATGAGTATAAGCTCAGAGAAAAAGAAATATATGTTGTTGTGCTTTACCACAGTTACCACAACAGATAAAATCAAAGTGTAAAGGATGGTTTCAGAAGAAATGTATTTTGCAGCAGTTGCCATGGGGACAGCAGATTTCACTCTCTCTTTTTCCCTTTCTGCCTGTCTCCCTATGTGTCTCTCCGCCTGCGTGTGCAGATTAAAATAATCATCAGGTTTGCAATACTAGGGATCCATCTCCTGTTATACTGCAATACAGGGATTCTTTAGGTATTACGGGCAGCCTCTTTCACAACTTACACTTAGGTTAGTGTTGTATGTGTCACCATTCGCCACTAGATGGGGTTGAAAAATCTCACATTCATCTGCAGCCAGTTTGTTTTTTTTAGGGTTCTGAAAGAAAAACTGGAGGTAACCCATGTTCATTACAGATACAAAAACAACCAGCATTGTTTTAACATTATTGTTGAAATAACCAATCTACAGAGAGAACATGCAAAGCCCACACAGAATAATATCATCACCCAGGCAAGGGAACTCCTTCACCTTCAGGGTTCAGGGGTAATATCATCACCCAGGCAAGGGAACTCACTGGTGACCTTCAGGGTTCAGGGCAACAGTGTTGACTACTCATGGACCTAATTGAACACCTGGGGCAGAGTTCACTGTAACACCCACGGTTGTATTTTTCTAAATTTTTAAATTTCTTTTCTAGTTTTTAACCTCAGTACAAATTAAATGGTTTAATATTTGAGGCCATTGCAAGGACAAAAATGGATGATTGGCAAGTGACATCATGTTGTTCCACACAATGTAAGTGGTGAACAAAAATGTAAAGCCTCAGTTATTAGTAATGTAGAAGGTTCATGATATACAGTACATGTTTTAAACATCATTTAAAAAATGTTTTCATCCCAGTCTCTGAGTGTTTCATCTTTAAGCAGACTCCACATTTCTGAACTGCTTCAGCATACTGCTCAGCTGGTTCCCCCCATATGGCTATATGTGAAGGATGGATGTGGCTGTCAGTAAAAGCCATAATAGGAGTGGCTCAGCCTGGAATAGTCCTGAGCTGAATGGGGTGTTCCCTCCACTCACAGCCTAGACTCATGTTTCCAATGGGGATTTATGGTTGTCAGGAAGGCACATGGGAAACAGCAGAGGTGTGAGCAGTATCATTACAAGAGCACAAATCAGTGGAGCATGGAAACGACCTATCTGGGAGCTAAATTGTTTCAACTTAGCTTTACCCTTGTGGGGATATTTTCTGGAGCTCTTTTGGTGACAGGAGTATTTCTCTTGTAATGGATATTTAGTGATGTGGGTTAGATATGACCAACTCTGTAGGTTCCAACTCTTGGATCTTGAGTTTTAGCTGCTGTGGTTCCTACTGTGATCCTTCTTCTAATAAAGCAGGAATATTTCATTTCAATTAAAAAAAAAAACATTTGAAAAAAAATTTGATCAGGCACACTTTCTAATAATCTTCTGTTGAGTATTTTTGCGATTGCTACTTCTGCTACTAAAATGTAAGCAATAATAAATAATGATGATAACAATAATAATAGTAACAACAACAATAACATTAATAAAGAACAAATAGGTTCATAGTCATTAACCATCACATTAATGCATGGATGCATGGATGCATGGACAACTGGAAGTTCTCTGCTCCTCCTGTCTGCTCAGTCACAGGTGCTCCTCATCCCATCCTTGCTCTCCGCCCTCTCCGCCGCCACAACTGCGCTCATTCGCTCTCGCCAACAGCCCGGATGTAGCGCACAGGAGCGCGCAGTCCTCCACTCCAGAATAACATGGCGCTGGCAGACACTTGGCAGTGCCCACCATAACATTATTACTATCCACAGCAGCGGGCCAGGCGTAGTGCAGGAGGGACATGTGAGCTCCTCGACACCAGCACCAGCAGGTAGGTGAGGCTCTTTGTGCACGGTGAATTTGGTTAGCGACAGCAACAGTAGCAGCGGCAGCTGCTGCTTCATGCAGGGGAGCCGCTGTGGGGAGAAGAAACGCTTTCTCCAGGCTGCAGTTTGTGTTGCAGGTTTAACGGCTTGCAGTGACACAGCAGTGTCACACCGAGGAGAGCAGCGTGTGCAGGGAGAAACGCTCATGTTTGCAGCGCTTGTGTTGTCATGGCTGTCAGGCTGCGTCCGTGCGTCGACCGCTGTCCTTGGTATTGAATTGGGTGGACATCATCCTCCTCCTCCTCTTCCTCCTCCTCCTCATCACACATTCTACATGAAGCCAGCAGGCCTGTTTATGTCTGCTAAGATGCTCTCATTGGTCTTTGAACGAGGATTAATGGTAGTCGATGGTTTGTGGTCTGGGGACAAATCACTGTAATGCAGCTACAGTCTTATAATCTAATGTGTGTGTTGGTGTGTGTTTGTGTTTAGGGAGGGGTGGATGGGCTCAGTGCATGAAGGCCGGTGAGTTTAAAGACAGGAATCCTCTTGTTGCTGTGATGTCTTTAGTCTGACTGTCACAGCTCTGCTCTTACTGCAGCAGCCTCCACTGTATGTCTCTGATGATGATGATGATGATGATGATGACAGTGCAAGACATGTATTTGCTGCCTGTGTTATTCCTTGCAACCTCCCAGAGAGAGAGAGAGAGTGAGAGTGAGCGTTTGTGTTTGTGCCTACCTTGTCTGTTAAGGAGAAACCTGATGTAAAGATGAAATAAAGACATTAATTGCAGTTCAGGTCGAGTCAGGTTATGGATAAATTGATGTGATCTGGGTCAGACAAGCAGTGGATGGTCTACAAAAGCTGTTTAAATGTATTTGCTTGATGAGTAACATCAGAAAATTAATGTTTTTAAGTGCTTGGTGTTGTACAGGTGGTGCTTTGGCCCAGAGGCAATGTCTCTGTCGTTGGTGTGGAACCCCAGGGTTCACCTCCTGGGCAAGTTCAAATCCTGGTTAGGGAGGTTGGTACCTTCTCACCACCTGCAGTGCAATGTATGGTGCAATGTGATTTGGGTGGTGACTGCTACCCCGTGACCCGGTAACGGATAAACGGATGAAAATGGATGGATGGGTTTTGTACAGGTCGACATAATGATGAAAATGATGAAATGATTGTAAACTACAATCTCTTTTTTTTGGTAGAGCTCACTGCAAATAATGACACACTAATGACACTACGAGATTGACACCAACTGTAATGTCTAAAGTGAGTTTATTTTGGAACAGTGCTACGTCTATGTGTTATAGACGGTCTAAGGATAGTGGTATAAAGTATTGATTACTAAATATTTTAACCTCTGTGTCCGCTGTGTTTTCTGGAGGCCACGTAAGGACATAAAAACAGATGGCTGATTTTTGACTTCTCTGTGGCTTTGGATTAGAATGTGTAGACGAAAGTTAAAAGTAGAAGCTTGGACGTCTGAGCTGAGGGTTCGCTCCTAAGCTGGTAATCACCCTCACAACAACACACTGAATAATACTTAATAACATGTAGCACCAAACCATTTAAACCCTCAAAGACAATCCCAGTACCAATATCAGTATCAGTATTGGGCCTGATGCTTCATTCAAATACCAGTACTGTACTTGTTCTCTATATCATGTGCTGATCCAGCAACCTGGATGTTCAATACAGCCTTTCAATACACCAAGCTGCACAACAGTGTTGTTGCTCTCATGGGTTGTTAATTTAAGTAGGTCAAGACTGTAGCTTTGGTGATGTGAGAAATACTCAGAGACATTCAGTGTTTTTTAAAAGGATTTAATCATGAGATCCAGAGTAAATGATGGAACATTTGTGGAGATTCATAGACTACTTATTTATTTTGATGGATCATAATATCTGAGGAGGATTTGTTTTAATCTGAAGATGTACTGCATTTTTGCTGTAAGTTAATGGAATATAGAAACAAATTGCACTCCATCAACCAAACAGAAATGTCAATGATTGCAGGACTGACCTAAAAAACCTAACCTAAACCCTGAAAGCTACAACAGTTTATTGCTAATTTGCTGAGTAAATAGTCGTGTTGACTTTGTTGCTAAGTAAAGTAAAGCCTACACACTGTCGCAGACAAAGGTGGCACTCCATTTATGTAGAATTACGGTATGTTGCACCAGAGACTGATTAAAAATTTATGGGAAAAATTGATACCTCAGATCATACCATGAAATTTAGATGTACTCCAAAAACACTAGCCTATAACACGACCCTACATTTCCCATATTGCCCTAATAGCATCTTTCTGTAAAAAAAGGCTCCTGTCCATTAACGCCCATGACTCTCGTGTTATGTTGCAGACCATTTATAGATTTTTTAAAAGACGATCTTGATGATGTACGCATTAACGTAAGACTTACTGCAGTGATGTGGGTCAGTAGATCCTAACCTACGTCACCTGTGTTCTGCTACAAAACACTTGCACCCAAAACCTGCTGGCTACTTGTAAAATATGGGAAAAGAACAAAAAAGCGTAGCTTCCTTGCCGACAACCGTGTCACTCTAGCCTTAATTTGTAATTACAGTACAATGTACGTTTAAGTGGTTTACATTATCAGCATAATAAAAATCTAAATAAACAACAAAAGAATAAAAGAAAACAAGCAGGATTTTACAATGGATTCAGAGAAAATGATCAATCATTAGAATGAGAGAAGAGATTAAAAGAAACTGGTGTTTGGCTAAAAGTGATTACTTCTGTATAATTTTTGTGATTTCTTTGGAGTGGGGAGATCCTGCATGTTACACTTGTCAAAGATAGTCTTCATCAGATGTGAAGGCTCATGATGAATTTATATAGCTCTAGTTGCAAGTGTGTGTGTGTGTGTGTGTGCACACTTGTTTGCACTTTCACTGGTTATCAACTGTGCATGCACGGTGCCAGAACCGAGCACAACAGCTTTACATAATGATCAAAGCTTGAGAGATGGCGGAGCATGGCCTCAGCCTTCACTAATAATAACAATAAGCTTTGAAGTTATCGCAGTCCTGCAACCACATCCACTTCATACACTCTCTCCCTCTCTCTCTCTCCCTCTTCTTTACACACACTGACATGAATTGACAAACACCTACACAACATCTTAACAGGCTTCTCTTACTTTTCTGAATATAGGGTTATATTTACCAAATAGGAAAGAGATCATGATCACATGACTAACTATTTTGGTCCTGATGTAGCTCTGCATAAAGCGTTCTCAGGCCGGTGAAAGGCAGCTTCACACAGTCGTGATTATGTAAGAGTCTGCAAGACAACATTAAATATTTTTATCTTGTTTCCGTTGGTGCTACTGTATCTTGTCAACCTCTGAGAATGAACCGTCAAACATTTTCATCACATATTTCCCCCCCTTGTCTGTTCCTCGGTCTTTGTTGTCTCTCTTTCTGGTCAAATAGCGTTTAAAATGCTGGAGTGGGGACGCGTTATCTGTAATTGAAGTGCCTGAATCAACTTTCTATTTATATGGGAGCCTCTCGAAAGACCCATTGGTCAGCCGAGTGTCTGGCAGAGTTGCGCTGGTCGATCTTGCTAATCAAGAGCAGAGCAAAGCCGGGCATGCAAACGAGGTTTAGACAGAAGAGGTGAGGAGAGAAGATGGTGATACGAGAAGATACTCTGTGGGAGAATGGCACAGGAGAGCAGTGAACATTTGAGGAATGAAGCTTTGGAGTGATGAGGGTTATTACCAGGAGGTAATTGTACAAAGAGAAAAGAGGAAAAAAGATGGATCAAATGTATTGGCACAGATGTTAAACGGTGATGTCAGAGGAAGTGCTGAAAAGGAAGGAGTAGTTTAGAACAAACCAGACCAAACAAAGTTTGGTGTGAGAGGAGACATAATTTAATTTAGGAAAGATGCAGAAGCAGAGACTGAATGTCTGTCTGTGTGGGTCCGTCTTCTCTTACCTGATATTTCTGTTCACTGCTCACCGACAGCAGCCTAGTTTATCTATAGACTAAGGTTCTCCTTGAACTTATTCTGATTGACTTTGTATCAGAAAATGCAATTTGTTTTTTTTTTTTAGCAATGATTTAAAAAAAGGAAAACCTGCCCATGTGTTGTCTACCTGTCCCAACATGTCGTCATTGCAGGGAGAGAGAACAAAGACGAAGACATGACAAAGAAGTCAGCTAGGAGTAACAGCAACCAGAATAGCGGTGTGTATCCAGAAACCCTCATGTTCTTGGCCACCAGTGACACCAGTCCACTGATATTTATTTAGAAATGTGATGAAGTTTAATGATAGTTACAGGTTTTAAACTGTGGCTGCTCAACAGTCTGATTTATGTTCCTTACTTTTCTTCCTAGGATGGACTAGACATTTCCAAGGTGAGAGAACAGATTTGGACAGGTCAGATAGACACACATACTCACACATACCATATCTACAGTGCTGCAGATATAGCATTTCTGTTTCTATAGTGCTATAATTATTCTATAAGCTATAATTTCTAATTGTTTGTAAAGGTTTAGAATCCATGACTCTTCATTGTCTTTTAAACAATGCACATCAATGCATAACATAACTGAAATCAAAGTGGACATTTAGCAGCCCTGTCAATGGCTGTTTGTTCTGAAGGGCTCTGACAAATGTAGATAACATTTTAGCCACGTTACGGTTGTCATGGTGAGTATCATGGCCCAATCTGGCAGCAGACACACACGTACACAGAACGAGGTAACCAAGATGCTTGCGTTATAGTCAGAATTGCTAGAAAATCATGTGACTGTTTCACTTTTCCATTTTTTTTCCTATTTTGTTTAAAGTTGTAAAGGCCCTGAATACCGTTATCCTCAAAGTGTTTGACTTTCATTGTTCATGCACCCAAGGCATCAGAGGGCAATGATGAAGAAGCCCTGTGAATCTTAAAGGCCCACTGACGATGCCTGCAGGCTACTGAGGGCTGCATCTGCCTCTGCTGCTGCACAGCACTGTCTGTCGTTGACCTCTGTCAGCCAATCTCAGAGAGGGAGAGAGAGAGAGAGAGAGAGAGAGAGAGATGCTGTTTTTGTTCAAATGCATGGATTTGTGAATTTAGTGCAAATCCATTTCCTGTGTCAGTATCTGATTCTGTAGCGTGTCAGTGTAATCACTACCAACTGAAAAACTATTATTCTGCTATTATTACTATAACCAATCAGGACCCTGAAATCAGCTAGATCATGCACTTTATGTAGTGTAGAAGGAAAAACCATTCTATTTTATAAGTTTGAGAAAAAATGAAATATTTCGGTCATATATATGTTTTTTTGTTTCACAGAAACATAAAAACATGCCGTTAGATGTCAGATGATTTTCACTGTAGGTGCTGCAAATACAGTGTAACAGGTCACTTTCTCTTACCAAAAAGTTGCGACCCATAAACACCACTCAGCAGCAGCAGCAGCCGCAGCAGCAGCAGCAGCAGCAGCAGCGGTTGGTTTGTGTGTATAATTACGCTCTTCTATTGTTACTCTTCGGCAGTTTTCTTCAGCTCTCCTTAAATCTGCATGCTCCCAGATGGCTCCCATATTTTTCTGTAGCATGCTGCACCTTGTTTCACGTGAGTTCCTTAAAAATAAAAAAATAAACAAAGCCTCGCCATGCACAGCTCGGCGGCCTCCTGCAGCACTTTGACAGTAATTATGGAATGAATTGTGCCACGACGTTTATGACTTTGGCTTTATTTGTCGGGGTTATTGTTGTGCGGTGATTGGTTCAGTGTTTTTTATGATGTTTTAATGTGGTGGATTATTTAAACAGTGCACTGGTGAATGGACTGTGGGTAAATCACTTTATAGAGATCGTAAAACATTTTAATTGCTGCACATGTGCCTTTTTGTAAGCAGGCTTTTTAGTGCGGAAGAAAACAGCAATAAATTAGGTGTTATTTGTTGAAATATTCCTCGGGGTGAATTTTAATCTCATTAAAGCAAAAGAGTAGTACATGGTACATGGTAAAGTAATGTGATCTGACTTCATCGTACACAGTATCCATGTGAGGAAGTGGTGTGAAAGAGGAAAACAAAGGAAATAGAAAAGGAGAGTGAATTATCCTGAAGTTTGTGCGTCATTTTGAAGTCAGCTGCGTGCTCCGTCGTCAAAGAGCCCTTTTCACTAATTACCTTTGTGACGTGACATCAGGTACTTGACTAAAACAGACATTCATAAGGACGTGTTTTTTTATTTTTTATAGCGTAGCTTGATTTATAACCAGCCATCCCCAACGTTCTCACCCATTTCATCCCAATAAATTAGGTGTTATTTGTTGAAATTTGTTGAAAAATGCTTAAAAAAGAAATGAAGTAAGTGAAGACATAAGCTGCTATCACACCATCAGTCACGTCACAGCTTCTTCACCAGTCACACAAATACCTCCCTATGAGGAGGAGATCATGTCACCTCCTGGAGCGCTATGCCAAGTCTGACCACAAAGTATGAGGCACCAACTCGGTCCAAACTTCAACTACTGTCGCTCTTAAAAACAAACTTCTTTCTCTCTTCCAAACACACTGTTAGTGTGAAATCAAAATGAAACCAGAGCAGAACATTGGCTGATGCTGTTTACATCATACCATAACTCACTGTACACTCCAAAAAATCTGCCTGCTAACACTGCAGCTCCTGCTCTGTGATGATGAACCTCACCAACAATTACCATTTACAGCCAAGTGACTCTGTCTAAATGAGTAAAATCTATGCTGTCAGCATTACAGAAGACATGGAGTGTCCTGCTGTTAAACTAATTACACAGAACAGTAGTGTCTGATTAGACACGGTCAATCAACTTTGAGTTATATCGTAAGAGCCAAGACGATTTCATCCATCTCAACATTTAACATCTACTCTTTCAGAGAGATGTCCATGTAGTTTCCTGGGTTTATTTGCAGTCATATGTTCGTACTAAAAGTGTTAATAATGTTGTTGGGGCGAAGAGTGTTGTGGTGGTGAGGGTTCTTTAACAGACCCAACACTCCTGCTGACCTGATCTCGCCCTTCTCGCTCCCTCCGTTTCACAACGTTTCTTATTGTTTCTTATTGTTTCTTTTGCTCTTGCTAATGTGCATGGCTTCGGAAACAACAGTTCTGCACGAGTCCACACATGCACGCAGACACGTGAGTGAACACATGCAGAAGACTCGTCCATACTGTGTACATATGCATGGCTGCATGTGTACCCACTTGTGTGAGGGAACGCAGACAAATGCTCACAATAAAACAGACGGGCAGCTGATGACGTACCATAAAACAAAGCTCCCAGATGCGCCGACTGAATAGATGAAAGAGTTCATCCAGTGACACAGCTGCTCTCTCTTTGATGCCTGGGCATGAAACTGCAGGAAATTTATACCGAAGAGGAAAGCAGAGATTTAGTAGACTCTTTTATTTTTTTTTGTAAGTTCAAATCAAATGTGTTTGGCAGGTTAACACTGTGTAGCTTGTGAGGGCAGCAGCTTTGGGCAAATGCAATTCTGATGACCTGAAAATAAATGGTATATTTATTATATAATGTGTCTTTAAAACTTCAGGCTTATTCAGGGTTTCATTTGCTTTTTTCATTTTGACACTAATTACTCATGGGCTAATCAGCATCTGATCTGGACAGAGGACGTACATCTGAAGTAATTTTTTTCCTCACGTTATTCCACTTGTACATCAATATTTCTGTATAGCACAAGTCTATATATATATATATATATATATATATATATATATATATATATATATATATATATATATATATATAAATATATATAATTGCTTCAATCTCCTGCTTGGAAATGGCAACATCCAAAAAAGCCATTGACAGAAAGTGGGTCCTTCACCTCCACCAGCCCCACTATGCAGCTGGGTTGTCTCTATCGTAATGGTCCTGAAAAAAGGCGGTTTTCCTGATTGTGCAGTTATGCAGTGTACAACAATGGCTCATGAATAATTTTGCTCTGCTTTTTCCCCCCGTCATTCAATTACCCTTCCAGCTAAGCCTCTTCATTTCCTCAGAAGGCTGTTCCACTGTGCATTTCTCTCAGTTTACCCATTTACAGAAATGGGCTGCACACTAGTGTTTGTGTGTTTGTGTTGACGCAGTAATAGGAAACATTTTTTTTAAGGGTGATGATTACTCTGGCTCTCATGGTTCACAGGCAGACATGATAAGTCAGTCGAGGTTGGTGTGATGGTGTTGAGCTCTACAGATTCATTAAATATCAATCAACACAGACTTTTCCCTTTTAGGTGAACAGCTTACTAGTGGATAATATACAATAATATTATAGTATAGTTGGTATAGCACTTGTGTTTACAAGAAGCAAGAAGATCACTGGTTGCAAGTTCAATTCCTGATCTACTACTGTTAATAAACCTGCAGATTCAGTGTGTTAGTTATGAATTTATTTTGTTAAATTTGTAAAATTATGGCCACCAGTTTATCTCTTTGAGGTCTAAATGCTACAGTGCATTTGTGACCTTTATTATTAATAAGTTAAATATTTTTTAAATGAGAGATAAGTTAGTGTCACGATTAGGTTCCTGGTCCTGACTCCTGATGTAGGGGTCTCCATGTCTGGTTCACCCCGACGTCTACTGTATCTTGATTCAAAGATGTTGTTAAAACTTAAAGAGAGCACTAAAGAAAGGAGAGTGGGTGGAAATGAGTTTGTTTGAACTTGAAAAAGCGAGGTTGAGTTGTGATCGTAACAGTCTCTGACAGTGTTATCTGCTGCTACAGGGTGAGTAAGTAGGAGGCAGGACGGAGTCAAGTCAGCCAGCGGAAAACAGGGAAAAGCTTTTACTTATTTTACTGCGCGGTGTTATTTTTCTACTTGTGCATTAGTGCGTTTCTGGAAAACATCACTTTGCATTCATCACAAGTTAGTACTGCGATGTGAAATGTAAATATACTTGCATCTTTAATTACCCGTCCCTATGATGTAAAAGTTGGTGACTCTTCAATGTGTCTACTTGGAAAAATGCTGGCTGGTGGTTGCTACTGGCAGGAATCTGTGGCTGTGTGGGGTGTGGCCATCTGTGGCTTTTCCACCGATTTTAGCACCCAAACACACACACACACTGACTCACAGTGTCCCTAATCCTGCAGTGTTATCAGTGAGCATCAGTGTGTGAAGTCATGTGGACCGGTATGAGTCTGTGGCTGAGACTCAAACTACGTCTCGCTGAGATCCGTTGATGAGAACATCTCTCCGCTGGGCCCTGGTTACGCTTTATCACCTCGTCCCACCAGCACCTCCACACCCAGCACGGCCCACATTAGCTCAGAAGCTGTTTGCTGTAAAGAGACGGATATATATATATAGCTTTTTTTTTAACGTAGCAAAGACACAGTGCTCCT